AATTCCAATAAAATTGATTCATGTTTGTGGCTGTAATGTGACAAAATGTGGAAAAGTTCAAGGGGGCCGAATACTTTTGCAAGCCACTGTATAAATACAGAATATATCATATGGATATAGGGCTGTGCGATATGACCAAAATCTCATATCCCGATATAAGACATTTATCGTCTTGACAACGATATAAATCACAAAAATGTAACATTTTCTGTAAATCCTGTGAATCTCGGGCAGCTCGACTTGCGTGAAGTGTTTCCAGCTGGGCGTCGTGTACCTGGAGTCGAGTGTTTTAACCGATGCATGAAACTGTACATTTTTAGACATAGGTTGTAACGGCCGCCGTTTTCTTTGTGAGTATTTATTACATGGCGTGCTGCGGGGAAAAGCCTGTTCTAAAACATACAAGTAAAGAAAGTAAAACATTCTCTCCAAAAAACTTGTAGATTCTAAACAAGCAAATCAGTCCGTGCATGATTACATTGCTCCGCCCATCAAAAAGTACCTGAGACAATATACCGACTATCATCATTTATTGGACTGAGGAATGTCAGTTGGAAAAAATGTACATATCGCACAAATTTTCCAAGGTTTGAATGAACTAATAATAATTTTATAATATGTCACAGATGATCAGTTTCCAGATATTCCCCTGGTTTTATGATATTATTTTTTGGATGGATGGATGGATGGATATTTGGCTTTTTATGAATAAACAGAAATGCACTGCGATTTGTTTGCTTAAGGTTTTTTCAAATGATCTGAATATAGATTGATACTGGGCTCCAGAGAGTGTGATTGCCAGTGGCTGATTTGTCAGTATCAGATTTTTATGGAATCTTTAGTCAGTTCTGCAGTGGTTTTTAAGGTATTTAAACACTGCTGAGTTGCAATGCAAAGAATGCAAAAAAAAAATATGCATGTTTCACATATTTAGTTTATTATTAATGATGCAATATTCACTGTGTCTCCAACAATAGATCTTGTATCTACCAATCAGAAAGAAACAGCGGTCTCAGCCTTAATGGAGGAAAAGCCGAGTGGTGTCGTGACAGAACAAAGGAAAATGTCCAGATGACAGCAGGTGACACATTCCCACTATGCTGACATAGCTGGTCAATTGACAGCTCAAGAACACGCCCTTCCTGCTGAACACCCATAGTGCAGCAATGATTGTTAGGAGGAAGGCTTGTGTTGCCTTGGTGATCGCTACCATCCTCTTCCTCATGATTGCCAGCCAGAGCATTCAGAGGAGGTATTTCCTGTTGCAGCCTGCAGCTCCGCCCAGAGGCCACAGCGCGCCCAGTGGCAGGATGACAGGTGAAGCGCGGGTGTGAGAAATGAATGGGGGGTTTTTTTGTTGTTGTTTTTTAAGTATTGATCCACACGGCCTGAACTTTTTTCTGTTTCCAGCAGCTGAATTCACAGGCCCAATTTCAGGTCAGGACCCTCCTTACCTGAAACCTGAACAAATTCCCTTTGGTCCCACTGAGGAAGAGATAGTTGAGGAAGAAAATGACG